CCTTGCCTCGTCGCAGGGCTAGCGCAGTCTTTGAACCGTTTGGGGGCCTTGTAGTAGATGTAACAACACAAATGTCCCCTTGGCTTCGTTGTCTGTTCCATGCTCCATGCTCCTCCATGCTCCTCTGTGATTGCTCCTGGTCGCGGAATCGTTCAATTCAGGTACCCTGGCTTTCCCACACACCATCGAACCTTCTTCTGTTATATATGGTTTGTTCCCCTTGTACGCGCACGGAAGTTAATGATGGTTGCTTCTGGCATCTCTGGCTGGGCCCGTCTCCTGGAGACGAATGCATGTTGCCAGCCAGCCTTCGTCCCAGACCCAGCAGAAGTGCCTGTGGAGAGCACCCGATGGAGGCGTGAGGGTGACATCCTATCGTCTACGGCTTCACTGATATAGACAGGCTTGTTGGGTTACCCCTCTGCACTCCCGTGGGGCGATCAGCTTTTGCGAGTGCGAATGTTTGTGGTAATTTGCGGCACGCTTGATGCACGGCAATACCAACACGGCTCAGAGCGTTAATAGCCGCTGAGCGTCAACTCCTTTAATTAGGCGCCATGCGGTCCCAAGTTTCGATTGTTACGAATAAACTAGTAGTGCCAAGGTCTTCTCTCGAGGAAAAGTGAGCTTCAGGTGTTTTTTTGTATGGGGGCCATTTCTCACAGCATTGGTCCCTTCATTTCAGTTGATGCAAATACCGCAGCCCATGATATTTGATTTTAACCTCATGACCGGACCGTTTTCTATCGGGTTTTCACTCAGAGCTCTGCGATTCCGGATCAGGTTTATTACCCACGAGAGACGAGTCACATCTGGAAGGGCAACAGCTCCGAAGATTTATTCCAACTAGACCAAGTATTGAAGTCTTCACTTGGTTCTCCTTTTTGAAATTGGCAGTGAGTGGCTTGACAATTTGCTTGGTGAGTCGCAATGATACGTAAAGAAATTGCAAGGTTCTGGCATGCAACCGCCATAGTCTCTGCCACCGGATTATGGTGTTCTCAAAAATTCCCTTGTTTGAATTAACGATCTGATTTCAATCTATATTTGGCATTGGCGACGAGGGAGGGCGAGTAACTCAAATCTCTTGGTTTTGAGCGGCGACCATCAAGGAATAGCTAAGTACAAGCATGAAAAGAAAAATTTTCAAAGTTAAAAGAATCCATACTTCATACCAGACTGATTTGGAACTCGCTAGTATATTGTTTTATTGTATTTGGGATAGAAGGGCTCGACAGATGCCAACGAGTTACGCTTTAATTCTAGTTTTCGATGCCGCATTGTGCGTGATCCAGAGAGATTGGGACTGTCCTAGTTCATAAAAAATCACTCTCTTTCGGTATGTCACGGTCCTCTGGTGTAGGTCGACCAGACACTCGGTGTGTGTACAATTGGGCCTATCCTGATGCAGTGCCGGCATGGATATTGGGATAGGTTCAAAAATAAGAGAAGATCAGCAATAAAAGATCACTCAACACTAAAACATGACTCAATGATAGCGTCACATTCAATTGGAGCTCACACATAGAAGTAATATAAAGCATCTCTGGCAACTTGATCTCGGATTATTTTGTATGCAACGAGGCGCTACAGAGTCATACGAAAAGTTTTCCCGGTTTCCCATTCGTCGGAATCATGGAAAATTCCATTTTAGTACCCTCTATTGGGCTGCCGAGACATGTCTTGCACAGTTTGAGTCATGACCAGGTATTTCCGTCGTGCCGAGTCAAAGACGCTCATTAAGTAAGATTTCATGGGCCTATCTTAGTCCCGTTTCCCAGTGCCGAGTCATATCCCCTTAATTTTTTATCTCAATAGGCGCAGCAAATTACGACAGGATTGAGACTGGAAGAGCGAATAATCAAAAAATACCGCAGTGTTTCCACGTGTTGAGAGACAGCTGCCTGTCTGATGAAGGTAATTGACCTTCATGACAATAGCTCATGGACGCAATGGCTCCACTGCAGTCCTCAGCGCATGGCGTGGTTTGACCTTGGTTCGAAAATAGAGGCCGTTTTGGCACAATATGCAGACGAATTCTCTGCTCACTTGAGCATGGCGTTGACCATCAACCCAGGATGGAGTCCCGTGAGTGTTACCACTAGAGTGCCTTTCGTTCATAACAGATACTAAGGGAGGGGAGAATAGATTGAAAATAGAAGCCAGAAGTGGACCAGATTATAGGGTTTTTATCCCCAAAGACTGGCCTTTTTTTTCGGGAACCTGAGCAAACTGCACCTAAAACTCGACCGAGTGGAAAACAGGAAACCAAGAATATGGGGAAACAACTTTCGAATATCAAAGCGTTTCGGACGTCTGAGAGCGCTCGTCGACCTCCATTTGAATAGGAATCAAGATACTTGCTATTTTCAGCATGATTGACGTTGATTATCGGCATGGCATATGGTCAATCTGGATCCTATCGTCGATTTACTGTCTCAGCCACGGTGGGCAGACCCAAACCTAATCTAGCCAAAGGATTCCCCGAAGCAGCAATAAACGGGACCTTATCGGAAGTACGCGTATGTACAGTGGATGGCTCCTCAGGGAAGATCCGAGACGGGAGATTCTGCCTAAATGCGAATCATGATACTCTGCTTCCGAGTTGTGCTGTTCGTGGTCTGGAGGCTTGGACGGACGGACGGCACGGACGGCACGGACGAACAAAGTTGGAAGTCTGCGCCGATGATGAAAAGTTTGAGCGCGTATGCATAAATGCTCGGATGCACAAATGTATCAATCCGTCACAACGAATGCACAGTGAGAGACACGGCAGCCACCAGACAACATAAAGTACCAACCAACGTCAGACTTTATCCAACAGACGTTGCCGGTGCGGGGAACATGCTCCTTCCGTCTTGAACTATCCGGGGCCCATCGCTATCTACTTATCTATTCACATCTCTATCTCCCTTGTTGTGTCGAGCAGATATATCTTCAGCGTTGTTGGCATTAACGACAGGCTTTTGGGAGATTGGTTCCCCTACGGTCTTCAATATCGTTGTGCTTCCATTACTATCGGCAACATCACGAAAAGATGACACTTACCCACGTCCCTGTGGTGCAGCCTGTGCCTCTTCCCGTAGGGAATGCTGATTACGAGGCGGCCAGACGGGCGGTGCTGCAAAGGTTTGCGGCTGCTGTACCAGAGGAACTCCTTCTGCCGAGCAATACAATACAGAATCCGCCCAAGTCTGTCATTGGCATCCCGCACGAGTGTGGCCTCTTGTCTGAGGCAGAACTCGACATCACGGAGAACTATGACGCGACGGCTCTTGCGGAAGCCATCTCTTCCAAGAGATTGACATCAGTTGCCGTGATCACTGCGTTTGCCAAGCGTGCCATGATTGCGCACCAGCTTACGTGCTGTCTGACCGAGTGGTTCATGGACGAAGCCATTGCACGTGCACAGGATCTTGATTATCATTTAGCTACCACAGGAAAGACTGTAGGTCCCTTGCATGGCGTCCCAATTAGTATCAAGTCTCATATCCCTATCGCAGGGCATTGGAGAGACATGGGCTACTTGGATACGCTGACAAAGGACACCAAAGACAGTCAAATGGTGGCCATTCTACGCAATGCAGGCGCCGTCTTCTACTGCAAGACGAACCAGCCACAGAGCTTGATGCATCTCGAAAGCACATCGTTTTACGGAAGAACTCTCAATCCACATAATATTAAACTATCGGCAGGTGGCTCAACCGGTGGCGAGGCAGCCTTGATAGCACTTCGCGGGTCGGTTTTGGGCGTCGGCACAGATATTGGAGGTAGTGTGAGAGGTCCTTCTGCGTTTTGTGGCATTTACGGATTCAAACCCACAAGTTATTCGCTTCCGATGAAGGGTTTTCTAGAGGGCGGTGTACCCGCTGAATTAAACGTCTTGTGTTCCACGGGCCCCATGTGTCTGACGTTGAGAGACATGGATCTCTTCATGAGCACCATTGTAGGGGCGAAACCATGGATTGAAGATCCTCGAATCATACCTATTCCATGGACGGGAATGAGATGCAACACCAGGCAGCCGTCGGCACAAAAATTGCGAATCGGTCTTATGATGCACGACGGTGTCATCGTCCCCCAACCACCCGTCACTCGAGCGTTGAAATGGGCCAAATCACGCCTTGAAGAGGCAGCCTTCCAGGTAAAGCCATTTACGCCCTACAAAGTTGCGCAAATTATGAACAACATCCGCAAAGCATACTGGCCAGCTAGTACAAAATACGCAGACGCCCACCGCGCTCTTACAGGGGAGCCCAGACATCCTCTCACGGAATGGATTCAACGAGACGCTGCTCCTGAGGAGCTGCCTGTCACAGCCATCCTTGAGCAACGACTTCTCCGTGACAATATACGTTCCGAATCCTCATTGGATTGGGAGGATCAAGGTGTTGATGTAGTCCTATGCCCGGCATTCGTAGGACCTGCGAGTAGCCATGACACGGCATGGTATTGGGACTACACGGCAATGTGGAACTATCTCGATTGTCCAGGAGTGGTCGTGCCCACACCAATCAAGGCACTGAAGAAGGGTGAGGAAGAATATGACGTGAAGTCGGCACTAAGCGAGGAGTGCGAACAGGTTAGGAAGCTATGGCACCAGGGCGACTTTGAAAATGCACCTATTAATTTGCAGTTTGTTGGGAGACGATACCATGACAATGCGCTGTTCGAGGTATTGGCTGCTGTGAAAGATGCACTACAATTGCAGTAGGTGAGTATCATCACTGTCTACACAGTGGTCAGGGTAGACAAGCATGACAACAGGCAGCGCGGATGCGGGTAAAAGTGAACTGAAAATGAGTCTGATATAATCCGAGTTTATTGTAAGTTGTAAGTCTATTTACTGGCTGGACCGTAAAGGCGCTTAAATACAAACTGCAACCCCCATTGAGGTCCGTTATTCTTCATCTTTCATCGGATCGTCTCCCACTCTCGCATCTCCATCGACTTTAATCTCCCTTAGTATCACGACTTTGTTGTTTACGTCCGCCGCCACGATGGGGAGGCTGGATCGTCTTCCGACAGAGCTGGTGATTAAAATCGCCAACTCTGCTCCAGACCTCGTGACTCTCCATCACTTGACTGTCGCTTCAACTCGCATCTCTGAAATATTCGACCAAATTGGCATGGAGATTCTCGAATCAGTCATGGATAACGACACTCCTCCTGAAATTCGGTACTTGGTCCGACTCATGGCCAAAGTCCACGCCTGCACGCCAGAGGCCCCCATGGCCTCGACATGTAAAGGATTTCTAGACAGATACGTAGCCAGCATTTACGGGACTTGTCTAGAATATAGCATCCATGGCACTTTGGCCGAATTCGACCCCTTTGTTGGTACTCCTCTTACCGAGATTGGTCGGGTGTCGGCGTACTCGCCATATCGTTTCAACCTTTAATTGGTATCACGCTCGCCTAGACACGCGTCTATTCAAACATTCGTATTAGACCAAGTCCCTTGCACAGAATCGGCTTCATTGTCATCGCCGGTGCGGAATGCCGACATTGTATCGTCGCAAGTAATATCGAGGCTGGTTCGCCAGGAGGCTGTACATGTATTTCGATTCCTTCAAACAAGAGTAACTTGTTCCCGCGGGTGACACTGGCTCCCGAGCATGGGACAACGCAAGCGCATGTCGAGCTTCATCCGAATCCCTGGCGAGAAGATGAGGTGGTAGCGAAGCCGTACATGCCGCTGCTTTACCAACGCACCATGAGAGGCCTTGATGGGCTGGTCGCACATCAAGGAATACTTGAGCATGATGGCGTATAGAGATGCTGGCCGGCGAGTTTCTAGAGGCGTCGCACTTCTCACTTCTCCTCGATCAGCCGTATGCTCTCCTTGACTGACGAGGGCCGCGGGCTTCCTTTTGCTTCCGGAGCAACTCGTACGGTTCATGCAGTGCGTTTTTCTGCGCAGCTTTCACGATGTGGTTTCTGTTATAGTCGCCATGGGCAAGGGGTTGAAGCGACGCACGCGGCTTCTCATTCTCGATGTAGCACTGCAGGGCGGAGATCATGGTTTCGGTTCGCCCGTGGTCATGTCGCGGAAACAACAGCAATCTACACAGCGGAATGAAGTTATTTCGGGAGGCTTACGAGCGCCTCGAGTGAGCAAATTTTTGGATATTGATGATGACTGCAGGGCTTCGTTGGAAGCCCTGAAAACGCGAGAAATTGACCCCAGTGTCTTTCTATACCCTGTTGGAACCCCTGAGACCCCTGCTGTGACTCTCAACCAAGCCCTAGAAAAAGCACTTCAATTAGTATCACCGTTTTGACTCAGCAGGTCATAGCCGCACCATACTGGGGTGCCTGTCTGATGCTTGGTGAATGCTTTGTAACGCTTTCCCAAGTCGCCGACAGTTGGGTTCGCAAACTCCACGACTGGCATGGCGTGTAGGATGCTTGCGTTGCCGAGTCCAGACACAATGTGCTCGGCATCTTCCTCCTGGGTAACACTGACTATATGGGCTATTTGCCGCTTCTTAAGGAATTGAACCGACTCCTGCGTTAGTCTTTGCTCCGAGTCTTGCCTGTTGTAGTGAGGCGCCGAGACGCGAAACTGCGTCGTGGGTTTAAACCACTCGTGATGAGATTTCTTGCATGGTATTTATATTAGTCCTTCCAGTACGGGGTATACCATGTCTAATAGGGATTTCGCGTGAAACAATTAATACAGTTCAGCGGGTCCTCATTTTTATACAAGAATATCCTCGCTTACACTCTTACGTCACATCGTATGTATATATGTTGGTGTTCAACCTTCCATGATTATAGGATCGCGATATGGCTATATTCTCGCGGACTTTGCGTTTTCTTTTCTTCTTCTTCTTTTTTTTTTTTTAAAAAAAAAAAAAAAGTCCATCGCGGTCACAGACACATACAAGCCGTCAAGCCCACCAGAGCACAATAGAAGCAACAGGGTAGCAATACAATCCACCAAAGCAGCCCGTTAGAAACGTCAATTGTTGCAACAGAGCCCTAGATGGCCCGCATCAACAGCTGGCCCCGGAATGGCTTCATTTCCAGTAAATCGGCGGGGATTCGCATTTTTAAGCAGAATTGGGATCTTTCAGTGCTGCCATCGCTTAAAAATGTTTGAGTCCTAAAGCCACACTCCCAAACGCCTTTATCCGAGTCAACACATGGCCGAATTCATGTACGTGGAACAACACATTGCAAAGGTATGAATGAATATCGCCCATCTAGTCTCATGTAGCTCGTAGTACTAGTCATGCATGCAGCCTTTGAGACAAATATGAACCTCGCTCCAAGCCGACCACAGCCGTCGGCAACCGCATTCTCTTTGCAGGCATGCCATGTCAGGATTTTGGTCTCGGGCCGGCGTTTGTTGCCATTGGTGGATTGAAACCGTTGATGCGGAAGCGGGACGAGCCGCCATGTGGGGCTCTCTGCAACAACATAAACCATATGTATGTATCTCGAGCATCAGTTTCCGACTTTTGCTCTGCAGCAGAGCATAGTCGGCGGCTGGGGAGGGCCATTTCGAGAACATCTTCATAATCTTCACGACGAGGGGGCTGCTTCTGGCCTCGACTCGGTTCGCCCTGCGCCCCTTTGCCTTCCATGACATCGATACTATGCCACGTCGCTGCAGAGGAGATGAAAGGTAGACGATGACGAGAGCACCGATCGATAATGGGCCGTATAGTCCGGGTCGCACGCTCAAGATGCAAAGTAGTAGCTCCGACGCACTCGCAACAACGGCAAAAGTCCCATCAGACTGCTCAATTAGTCAAAGCCGACCACACACAAAGGCACAATCCCACTCTATTCAAAAACAAAAAATACACTCCTCCATGCTAATGCTTGGTATTATACACGATGCATACGCCAACCCGACCATCCCAAGTGAACCCAATGCTGAGCCATGCCCCCCGTTCCCTCATGTATCATGGTATCATGCGCTAAAAATCACACAAACCCCTTTTCAAACGGCCACAGCATCGGCAGGCCTCCCAACCACAACGCCCGACCCAGAATCAGACTCGGTCCTCGGCGGCGGCTGCTTCTCAACTTCGCCACAACTCTGCTCCCACTCGAGTCTCTCCCGAATCATGTCCCGCTTGCACCACCACACGGAAATGCCTCCCCACACGGCACACCAGATGAACGGCACGGCCCAACATATACCGTACGCCACCGTAGCTGGGACTTGGTGAACAACAGCTATGACGGTCAGCGCAGCGGCCAGCACAAGCGCGGGGATGCTCCAAAAGATGCTCTGCACGTAGAGCATCCGCTGGAACCGCGGGGATGCCTTGTACCGGGCCGCGAGGGCCTCGCGATACGGACGACCAGCCTTGGCATTGACGGCAATTACATCTTCAATGAAGTAGTACGCCGCGGGAAGAACCTAGACGCAACCGCTGTCAGCACGTCCCCCCTTTTGTTTTCCATGGGATGTCCATTTTTTTCCGTTGGACTAATATATAACAAAATAAAGAATAAAAATTTCTTTTTGAAACAAAAAAAACGGGACGACTTACCGGCTCCCCCTTGGCCGTGGAGCTGATCCTAAACGGCGCCTTCCACCCCATGACATGCCAAAGCATGATCAGCGCCATCACGCCGCCCAGGCAGTACAATATAGCGGGCGCAGGCATACACAGGACCCTCAGCCACACAATGTGCGGTGCGCTACCGACGATAAACAGCGCCGTGACGGCGGTAATGGTGATGACGGACGCCCAGGTCAGCATGTCGAAGCACCACCTCGAGTCGGTGCCCAGGGGCCTGTAGAACCTCTCCTTCTTGATCAGGCGGAAGGTGCGCACGGCAAACTCCAGATACGTCGGCCCGCCCCAGATGGTGGTGACGACGGCAAAGATGATCCATCCCTCGACGTGGCCGGCGTAGTTGAGGGCGTAGTACAGGGCGATGGGGACGACGGAGGCATCGACAAAGGCGAAGAAGGCGAACAGAAACAGGCGCCAGCGACGTCGGCCGTGGTGCCACGTGAACGGGAGCTGGGGCAGCAGAAGCGGGTTGGCGTCGTAGTATTCCTGGAGGGTTCGTCCACGGCGGGCGTACTCGGTGCGCGTGGCGGCGCGGGAGTCGTAGTATGCCGGGGCGGACGGGCGGAGAGCGTAGGAGAGGCTGCGTCGAGGGGGCTCGTGGAGGGCGGGTGAGGAGGATATGGGCGAGCCGGGGACGCTCTGGGAGTGGGAGTCCAGCGACGGCGGCTCTGGTGGTGAGATGGTGATGTTGCGGTTGCGGTTGTGGTTGTTGTTGTTGGAGCCGGAAGAACCGGCGGGAGGGCGGCTGTCGGGTTTCACGTTGTTTGGCGGCTCGCTTGCGTTTGGAGAGGCATTGTCCGAGGATAATATCGTTGCCAGAGGACGAGTGTGCCAATCGAGGCTCCGGCTTCCTCGCCTGACTTGGGGCATGGCGAGGTCGATGACGGTGGCGATGCGGCGCTGGGAAAGGGGAGAGTCGGTTAATACGTCGTGGACATGGCTTTTTTTTTGTTTTTGTTTTTGTTTGTGAATTTCCCAATGCGCAGCCGAGACGACAGATAGGGACACTTGAACCAGAGATGTGGTGCAAGAATAGTTTGTAGTGTGAGGTTTTGGAAGAAGAAGAAGAAAAAAGAAGATCAATCAGGCAGGTGGTGGACATTGGGATGCTCTTGCGTCCATGTCGGATCTGCCGTCGATGGGAGACGTCATGTCGCGGCGGAACCCTGCACATGCGTCCGGTTCAATCTGCAGGGCGTCTCTCCAGCCATGGCGTGGTCTGGCCCCCCTGTCGACTCCCTTTGTCCACCTGGACGCCACTTGTGCAGCCAGTTGTTCCGGGCTGGCACTGAGTAAGCCCGTAGCATCGGCGCCCGGTGCTTCCCAAAGCCCCGACCCTGGACTGGAGGCTCCATTACCGAGTCTTCCGGCACAAATCAATCCTGCCTGAGCCAACTCAATTGCGGCCACCGCCGAATCACAACCCGCATGATTCCAACAGCCAGGCCGCCCACATTACCCAATCCATCAAGCCCCCGAAGCCTCCAGCCTCCGTCACCTCTCCGTTTAACCACGCACTTGAGCTTCCCTTGCAATAGCAACGGATCGACATCAACACTGCTCACATACGTCTCGACTGCTACGCTGCTTCTTGGCAGAACTCATCACATCGGCACCTCGTCAGCTCGTGTAGATATTGTATGGAGCAACAGGAGGGGGTATCGTCATTCCTTAACAGCCTACCACTAACTACACCTACGCAACAACACAACAATGAATGCTTCATCCATCATCGCATTGCAACAACAATCCTACCGTCCAACTACCGTCGAAAACAAGAAACAAAGAAGAAAAATTCACGAGCAGTTCTTGTGCTCGTGAAGTGTCTCCCACTGCCATTCATCATCGCCGAGAAC